GACGACAGGTTATGGGCTGAGTTCAGTCTGGCGAGACAGCCCATCCGCTTTACCTTTTTGCTCCATCTTAATAATCGTCCATTGTCTCCAGCCACTCTGTTTAACCAAACCAGGGCGTTGTGGTCCGTGACTAAGGTGAATTCTCGCCCATACAAATAGGTGAGTTCTTTAGCGCCCAAACCAAAGCCAAACATTCCTTTTCGACTGCCGCATAGCTCACTTCCCGGGGTAATAGTTTACGGCTGATGTAAGCGACCAGGTGTTCTCCTCCGTCCTCTCCCACTTGGCTTAAAACTGCCTCCAGTCGAACATGGAAGCGTTTGTGTGGACAATAAAATGTTTGTTAGGGACCGGTGCAGCCAACACAGGAGCATGTACAAGGGCGTCTTTCGGGGCTTGGAAAGCAGATTCACAGGCGGGAGACCACAGGACTTGTCTGGGAAGGTTCTTTTTTGTGAGATCAGTCAGGGGCTTAGCTAAGGCGCTGTAGTCTGGTACAAACCGTCTGTAATACCCTGCTGTCCCCAGGAAGGCCAGGACTTGGGTCTTGGTCCGGGCGGTGGGCCAGTTAGCGACAGCTTCTATCTTGGCAGGCTCTGGCCGCTGTCGTCCACACCCGACCCGGTAGCCCAAATACTGGTCTTCCGCCATGCCTATATGGCATTTGTCTGGCTTCAGAGTCAGGCCCACGGCCCGAATCTGATCCAGCACTGCCCCCACATGCCTCAAGTGCTCTTCCCAGGACTCGCTATAGATCGCGATGTCATCCAGGTACGCACACGCGAAATCCTGGAAGCCATCAAGGAGTCTATCCACCAAGCGTTGGAACGAGGCTGTTGAGTTTTTCATCCCGAATGGCATGACTCTGAATTGGTACAAGCCAAACGGGGTGACAAAGGCCGACTTGGGGATATCCTCCTTGGCCAGGGGAATCTGCCAGTACCCCTTACAGAGGTCAATGGTGGTCAGATATCATCCCCTGGCGATGCGATCCAATAACTCATCCACCCGGGGCATAGAGTAGGCGTCTGTCACAGTTTTCTCATTTAGCCGTCGATAGTCCACCCAGAACCGAGTAGTCCCATCCTTCTTTCTTACTAGGACTACTGGCGATGCCCAGGGACTATCGGAGGGCTCAATGACTTTTAACCTCAACATTTCCTGGATCTCTTCCCACATACTGGCTCTGACGGCATCAGGTATCCGGTATGGGGGTTGCCTAAGCAGGGTCTGTCCTGGGGTTTCCACCCTATGGGTGGTTAATGTGGTGTACCCTGGTTCTTGGGAGAACATGTGGCTTTTCCTGCCTATTAAGCAGTGTATCTGTTCCCTCTCAGTGGCCGTCAGTCGGTCCCCTAGCTTTATCTGACTGAGGGGATTAGTCTGGGGTTGTCTACTCCAGAAGTCAGGTAGCGGTAAGCTGTCTAGATCATCAGTGGTTGGGGCTCAGACAGCAGTTATGTCTTCGGGACTTTCTTGATAGGCTATGAGCATATTAATGTGGAATGCTTTGCGTATCCTCTCATCCTGGTCGCTGGCGATTACATAGGTGGTATCGCAGAGTTGGTCTACCACCGTGTAAGGGCCCTGCCAGGCTGCTTGTAACTTATCACTTTTGGTCGGTTTTAGCACTAGGACCTTCTGTCCCACCTGAAACGTCCGCTGGTGAACACCCCGATCGTACCATACCTTTTGCCGCTCCTGGGCTGCTTGGAGGTTTTCTTTAACCATCCGTGCCAGCTGTTCCATGCGGTCTCGGAGCTGCACTACATATGATACGATGGGGGCTCCCTCTTGTTCGGTGGTTCCCTCCCAGTGCTCCCTAATGAGGTCCATGGGGCCTCGCACCCTTCGCCCATATAGTAGCTCAAACGGAGAGAACCCCGTGGATTCCTGCGGCACCTCTCTGTACGCGAACAGGAGGTGAGGCAGGAAACGTTCCCAGTCACGGTATTCGTCTATGAATGTTTTCAACATTTGCTTGAGCGTACCGTTGAAACGTTCACAGAGGCCGTTGGTCTGGGGGTGGTATGGAGAGCTAAGTAGGGACTTGATTTGGCTGACTTTCCACAATTGAGGAGTCAGTTCAGCGGGGAACTGGCTCCCTTGGTCGGATAGGATTTCCCTCGGGAAGCCCACTCTAGAGAATATCCCAACCAGGGCATTGGCCACAGTGTCCGCCTGAATATTGGACAGGGCGACTGCTTCGGGGTAGCGGGTGGCATAGTCCACCACTGTAAGGATAAATCTCTTACTGGAAGGACTAGGCCGTTTAAGGGGGTCTATCAGGTCAACTGCTATCCGGCTGAAGGGCTCTTCTATTATGGGCATGGATATCAGCTTGGCCTTAGGGTGATCTCCCCTTTTGCCCACCCTTTGGCACACATCGCAGGTCCGGCAATAATGTCGCACATCTGTGGAGACCCCCAGCCAAAAGAAGTGCTGGGTTACCCTGTGAGATGTGCGAGTTATCCCCAAATGTCCAGCTAAGGGAATGTCGTGCCCTATTCGGAGAAGCTCCCGTCGGTACTTCCTGGGAACTACCAACTGGTACCTCTGCAAAGGGGCGGCGCCAGGGTGACATTTTTCGGATACCCGGTAAAGCTTGTCTTTCTCCCATACATATTTTTCCCCCTCTGAACCTGGCTGACCTGTCTCTGCCCTAAGGCGAAACTTTCGAAGGGAGGGGTCAGCCCTAGTCTCCCTACCAAACTCTTCTGGGGTATCCCAGACTAGGGTCGTCATAGCTAGTGTCTTAGTCAAGGGGTCAGTATGTCTTACCTGGGTCTCCCCAACCGGACGGTTGTTCTCTGCGTTGCGGGCTTGGGCACGGGTGGTGACTGGATGAGCAGCTGCGGTAGGTGCATAGGCTGACGTGAGAGGCTCAAGGTCATTGCCCAGTAACACTTCGGCTGGGAGATTGTCCATTATTCCCACTTGTACCGTATCAGCTCCGGCTCCCCAGTTGAGATGAACCCGGGCAGTGGAGGGACGGTAAACAGCTCCTCCGGTAACTCGAACAGCAACAGTCTTTCCAGTGCAGTCGTTGTTGCGAACCAAGTGTTTTTGTATCAGAGTTATTGTGGCCCCAGAGTCTCACAGACCCTGAGCGGGTGGCCCGTTGACCAGCACCTCTTGGTGCTGCCTGTTATCCTGAGTGGCAGCTTGAATGGAGTTGGCCTCATATAGGACCCCTAAGTACTCCTCCATCTCGGTTGCAGTTTCCAGACAGTGAGCAGTGAGGTGGTCCTGGGAGGTTCCATAGGGCAGTTGCTCCTGATGTGTCGCAGCTGGTGGCATCCATGGCACCGTACTTGGGACTGGTTTGACTGGAACCTGGGGGGCCCAGAGTAGCGGGCTGGACCTGGCAGGACTGGAGCACGGAACTCTGTCCTAGGAGGGGGTTTTGTCACGTGCGGCTCAGGACGTGGACGGGCACTGGTAGGTTCTGGCTGTCGGGTATCAGTATACTCATCTGCTAGATGAGCTGCGTCCTGTAGGGTGAGTGGCCACCGATCCTGCACCCATTCCTTCAGGCCCGATTGAAGTGTTCCTATAAAATGTTCGAGCAGGAACATTCCTCTCCAATGGTGGCTTGGCAACCCTGTATCCAATGAGATGTGGTCCTGTGTAACGTACAGGCCCACTCTGAGTAGGAATCTCCACCTTTCCATTTAGATTCCCTAAACCGTCACCGGTATGCTTCGGAGGTTACGGCATACAGTAGCGCTTTGTGACGAGAGCAATCTCGCCACATTGCATTGGAGAAGCCTGGCTGCCCGCCTGCTGCCTTTGGACTATGGACCAGACTTTATGTAAATGTGTTAACCCAGATAGCTATGCCATGGAGCCCATTTGTGTAGTTAAAGACTTCGGCTCCATGGCAATTGAACTGTGTGAATAGGATCTGAGCACTATTCGGTAGTTTTGTGCGCTCAGATCCCAGCTATCTGGGGATATGTGAAATGTTGGTGTGTTATGTGTAAAAGGTGACTTTATGTATTTTAAAGTGTTTTATGTCTTTTTGCAACCATGTGCTCAATGGAGTCTGCCTCTATCCCTGGATAATTGGATTACTTTCCCCCATTGTCTCCAGGATAGAGGGCTCTGTAAAACCTGTTTGAGCCAGATAGCCATGTGCCAGCCAGGGCCCAAAAGATACTTTTACTAACTTTTGAACCCCTGGTCGGATTCATGCCATTTTTAAATATGTTGTTCCCCTGAATGGATTGATTGTGAATATGTAATTTTATGTGAATGTGATGTATGGTTTTAGAGTTATGAAAGTTGGGTAGAAAGTATGTTTTAACTGTATGTTTAATTGAGTTTCCTCTCAGGATAAGGGGAGGGAATATGTGGGATGTAACTGATATGTGATTGGTTGGTTGTTTTATACCTCCCTGTGGGCGGTCCTGTATGTGAAAGGCTGTAATAAAAACCAGGCTGGGTGTGCCAGCACCTCAGACCACTGCTTGACCCTCAACACGGAGCCTTGTCTCGTTCTTGGGGGGATTCACTGTATGCTGTTAGAGACTGATTGCCAGGAGTGTAAGCTGATTGTCTGCTTTTCCTGTTTGTCTGCTAGCAGCTATTTGGGAGATTCCAGTTCGGGAGTTGGAGTGCTATTTTGTATCCAGTTCAGGAGCTTGGTGTTCTGCAGTAGCTGTGCCTGCATCACTGGAAAGGGGGCCGATCGCCTAAACGTTTTTTTCCCTTTTTGTGCAAAACGGTCCATTACACGCTTCTTTTACGGTAGCATAGTTTTTAACATCCTCGGTTGGAATGGCACGAAAAGCTTTGTTGTCTTTTCCCGACAGTTTGGCCGACAAAATTGTAGCCCAGTCCTCGGGTGGCACCTGATGTAGCGCATATTACCTTTCAAAATCGGCCAAATATCCATCTATCTCTCCATCAGCCTCTTGGTATGCTTTAAACGGAGAAGAGGACGAGATCCACAGAATCGTGCAAGGAAGACTGGCACTTTATGCAGCAAATGGTACCTTTTTCCGCTCACTGAGGGTTCCCATCGGTAGTACTGTTGGGCTCTCTGTTCTCGGGGCGGTCAGTACCTGTATATGGTAGGCTCTTTTTTTTCTCGCCTCCTCCATTGCTGCGTTGAGAAGCTGGGTTACCACTTCTACCGGTGGATTTGGCCCATAGAGTGCCAGCCTTCCTTGCACGATTCTCTGGATCTCGTCCTCTTCTCCGTTTGGTGAGTTAGCGTTAGCCATGATGCTGTTTTGGTCCATTTCGACCAGTTCAGCTATTAACTCTTGTCTCTGTTGCTAGCTGAATGCCCACGGCTCTCTAGCAAATCCTTCAATGTTGGCCGTTTCAGTTTCTCATACTCCATAGATGTAGCACCTCCTCTGGGAAGACAGGACCATCCCATCGCTGCCACCAATGTAGCGGTTACCCCATGTAGCAGAGGGGTTTCAACCGCTGGAGGGTGTCCTTTTCTGGAAGAGTGAGGAGGATTCTCAGCTTCCAGTCATGCTTCAAGTGAAGAATCTCTTACAAGAGCTAGTGTGAATAGCTGTATAGCGGTTACCGCCAATAAGAGACAAGACTCTAGATTGAGGGTGAAGTAGAACTGATGTTTAATGGCTGCAAGGGAGACGCCCACAGGCAATTAGACATTAACCAATCAGACAATGGTTACATCCCACAGATTCCCTCCCCTCTGCTTGGGAGATAATTGAGTTTCTTACTGTATCTACTCAATTATCTCCCAAGCTAAAACTTATACTTTTTAGCCATTTTTATAACTTTATGATTTTTCGTCACCCAGCAATAAAACTTATATTTTTATGATCAACACAACTTGGGGACAAACATATTCGAAATTCGTACAAATTCGTTCAGGGGTTCCAGAGATATGGAAAAGTCTCTTTGGACTGGGCCGCACGCCTGTTTGCATGCCCAAAACAGTTCCACGGGTTCAGGCTGTGCGGTTGGTCTATTTCTGCCTTGAAAAATAACAAAGTCCCGTTCGAAGGCGGCGTTCGAATCGTCGATGCACTTCGACTGCTGTCGAAGTGTCGAAGTCAAACGGGATTAACCTTCCTCGTTTGGTTGTTAGGTGAATGGTAGTTGATTTCACATGACAAGATGACAAAGTCCCATTCGAACGTGTGTTCGAATCTTCGAATGGGACTTAGTCTCCAGCCGCAGTGTTGAAGGGAAGGGAGCGGTGCAGGTCAGCGGTGTTCGTGCAAATGTGTGACCGATTTCCGTTCCAGAGATTTGACGGCACACACCGCGTTCGGCTGTATTAAAATGGCCGCTGCCACGTGTTCAACTGTCTAATGGTGACCACTTCGACTACTTCGGCACTTTGTCTGTATCCGAAGTGCCATATCAAATGTACCCATTCTCTGCACATCACAGTTAAAGGGCCGGAAACAGTTTTTGTCCTTAGGTGCAGGCAATGTGGGTGATAGTAGGAAGGAAAAAAGGTAGAGGTCCCAGGCAACAGTAGGACGCTGGTAAACATACATTATAGATCCATGCAAAACCCGGGGATCTGTTACAAGTATATCCTTCTTTAGAAAATTAGTCATAGTCTACAACAATTGGAAAATCCTCTCTAGTTGATGTTGAACTTGAATAATTTGTCTCACTACTTTGCTGGTTTATGGTAGTAATATTTCCACAACTGTTTCCAGATGAAATTAGGATTTCACGAGGAAGGTTTAAGACTGTCCCTACACTTTTTTTTCATGGTCGACTCAATGACTGCAAGGTTTCCAGGACCTGTGGCTGCAAAACAAGTCCAAATCATAACCCCTCCACCACCGTGCTTGAGAGTTGATATGAGGTGTTTGTGCTACCAAATGTGGCACTGTGCATTATGGTCAAACTTTGGTCTCATCTGTTTAAAGGACATTGTTTCAAAAGTATTTTAGTTTGTTCAGATGCAATTTTGAAAACAAGAGGAGGCTTTCTCCTGGCAACTCTTTCAAGCAAACCATACTTGTTCAGTCTTTTTCGAATTGTGCTGTCATGAAGTTTAACATTTAACATGATAACTGAGGCATGTAAAGTCTAAGTTGTAACTCTTAAGTGTTTCACAATTTCTCTGAGCATTGCACGGTCTGACCCTCTGGTGAATTTGCTGGTACATCCACTCCAGGGAAGATTGACAACTGTCTTGAATGTTTTCCATTTTTTAATAATCTTTCTCATTGTAAAATTATGGACTTAAATTTTTTGGGAAATGGCCTTATAACCCTTCACAGATTGATTGGCATCAATAATTGCTTTTCCAAGAGCATTGCTGGTGTCTTTCCTCCTTGACATTATCTTAACATACACCTGAATGCTCCAAACCAGCAAACTGCTAAAACTTCAGCTTTTAAAGAATTGGTCATATTTGCTGATGATCAATTAATTATGTAAGCAGTAAGAGTGTATTTAGTTTTTCACTCATGGCTTCTCCATTTTGGCTTTATTTTTGTTAAATAAATAATGGCACAAATATGTCATGTGTTGTTGTTCATCTGATGTATTTACCCAATTTTCATACCTGCTGATTAAAAGATGATTGTTATTATGTCCTAATATGTAAAACCATAGAATTCAAAGAGGGTCTACTTTCTTTTTCCCATGATTGTAGGTCTGTGTATAAATGTGTGTTCATAGGTCTGTGCTTGCCTGCATGTGTCTGTATAAACATGTCTATATGTTAAACAGGTTTAGGTAGCAATATAGCATTTTGAAAGAAACCAAAGTTTAGATTACAGCCAAATGCGCACCTCAAACCAACACAAAAAAGTTAAGAAAAAAACCAAAACAAACGTATTGGCACTTCAAAATTATTTTGAAATGCCAATATTATTTTTCTTATCAGTATCATCCAATTTTATAATGTGTAATGAAGTAAGCCAATTGTGTGGACTGGTACACTGCTATTGTCTGATTGAACTTCCTCTATGAATATCAACCTTTCCCTTGAACACACTCTTTGCCTTTACATCAGCAGACCCAACAGCTAGAAAATTAGACTTGATTAAAAACTAAAATTCTGTGTAATTAAAAAAAAAAAAACATTGAAAGAGGTCAATCATTAGATTACTGTAAAAAAGAAAAAAAAAACATTTCTAATGGTGTGCAATTTGAGTGAAGTAGCCTGTCAATGTGTTCTATTTTGACAAGTTCATGGGGAAGAATGCAATGAAATAATCTATATTATGTATACTACCAATATCAGCCATCTGTATAATGTACCATGAAGTAAGTTGTGAATAAGCTGGGAATATCATCCTTTCTGGTGAACACACTCATACTTTTACAGCAGCAGATGCAACAGCTGGAACATTAGATCCCCAAGGATGGAATAACAACCATACGCTCCAGTATAGGTCAGGGCTCGACAAATCCCAGGCGTCAAGTCACCATGGTGCCTAGGAATTTTGCCTTGGAGTCTGGGATATGCAAGCCACTTGCCTAAAAGGTGGGCGGGCGGCAGCAAGTGGGGGGATTATGGAGGAGGGCGGCATGATGGGTGGTCATGGAGGTGGGCGACTGGCTGTGCAAATAGTAGGTGGGCGGCGAGGGAACTGTAATGTTCCTGCTCTGCTCCCCCACGCGCCACTTAGTTACACCTCCCATGCCTCACCCTTCTGTCAGTCCCTACATTTGCTTCCTGTAAAATATAGTGCTCAATTTAAAATTCCGGTTCTTGATTTCAAATCTCTACATAATGCTGCTCCCACCTATCTATCCTCCCTTTTACACAAGTATGTCCCATCTAGGCCCTTACGATCTGCTAAAGACTTACGTCTATCTTCTGTCCGTACTCCCACCTCTGATGCTCGCCTTCAAGATTTCTTGAGGGCTGCACCGTTCCTGTGGAACTCGCTTCCCTCCTCTGTTAGATGCTCACCCAGTCTCCACTCCTTCAAAAAAATCGTTAAAAACCCACTTCTTCATAAAAGCGGATCAATTAAACTGTTAATAGCTCCTGACTGATTCCTCTTCTGAAACTGTCATTAGTCTAATACTATCCTTACCTTTTTGTGTCATTTTACCCCACTCCCTCTAGCATGTAAGCTCATTGAGCAGGGCCCTCAACCCCTCTGTTCCTGTGTCCAACTTGTCTGGTTACAACTACATGTCTGTTCGTCCACCCATTGTAAAGCGCTGCGGAATTTGACGGCGCTCTATAAATATCATAATAATAATAATAATACCGGGGCTAAAATATGACTATTGCATAGGAATATATACACATGTAAGAAATTTTGAAAAATATTTTTTAATATACACACAGTTCTACATATTATTCCCTAAACTCACATATACAATAACATATTCATATGCTAATTGTTACAAATATACACACAATTTTACACATATACACACTATTTTACCATAAACACACTTCTAAACAGATAACATTGACTGAAACACATACACACACACGCACAGATATATAAACACAGATAACATTGTAACAATTACACATTCAAACACACTGTTACACATATACAGCACAGTTTTATGTGTACACACTCATAAAATAAAACATATCAGCAATTACAGATTTACACATAAAAACACACTTTTTTTTTTTACATATTAACTGTTTTACACATATACTTCGTTATATATTAACAGCTAATGGCATTGAAAGATCTACACACATATACAAACTGTAACACATACACAAACGTTTTTACACTTGTAGTCTCATACATTAACAGCTTTATACACTCACAATGTTACACACATGCACATTCATACACTTATTGACACACATAATAACTGATATATGAAGACATAACCGCAGTTGGAAAAAAAATAAAAATCACATATAATGTTAAAAATTATCAAACAAGATTTCTTACTAAACTGCTGCATATTGAAAATAATCCAGATAAGAAAACAAATTGCCTGACAGATGTACCCTCATTTGAAATTAGTCTTCTAGTATTCTCTTCAACGCTTCGAGACAGAAATTGATTATTGATATGCGCGGTTATGAGTACGAGCATCCAAGCAAGGAGTATCTTGTTTGTTATGTGCAGAAACACACCATTGACATCAGTATGCTATGCTATGCATGTTGGCATTGTTATACCTCCCAACTTCATAGAATGCACTCTGAGTCTGTCAAATGAGAAGCATTTTAATGGACCATGGAAAGGAAGTAATTGACACAACTTAAACAGTAAGTCCTCTAACTCATACAGAATAACCACATGTAGATGTCATGATGTAGGTACTGGAATGATGGAAAATAATT